GACAAATGAGAAAGTCTCGCAGGATTGTTTCGCTTTGATTTTGTCAAGTTCAAAAAATTAGGAAGTCTTGCAGAATTGCTGCATTTTTTGTTGTCAAGTTCAAAAAGTGAGGAAGTCTCACAAAATAGTTGCGTTTTCAAGCTTGCAGATAGATAGATAGATAGATAGATAGGTAGGTAGGTAGGTAGGTAGATAGATAGATAGATAGATAGATAGAGAGATAGAGAGATAGATAAGATAAGAAAGAAAGATAGATAAATAGATAGATAGATAGATAGATCGATAGATAGATAGATAGATAGATAGAGAGAGAGATAGATAGATAGGTAGGTAGGTAGGTAGGTAGATAGATAGATAGAGAGAGAGAGATAGATAGATAGATAGATAGATAGATCGATAGATAGATAGATAGAGAGAGAGATAGATAGATGGATGGATGGATGGATGGATAGATAGATAGATCGATAGATAGATAGATAGATAGATACATAGAAGATAGGTTGGTAGGTGGGTAGATAGTCAGAGAAAGAGAGAGAAAGAGAGGAGACCTCAAGCACCTTTCGGTCCATCAGTGGCTTCGCTCTGCCATCCGTGATTCACAACAACCAACCGCTCCTATAGGTTTCCTGTTTTTGAAACTTCCGCCACCGCCTTGTGCGGTACTACTGGTACTTTACACTTTACACTCCACACTCCACAATGCCCAGTCCACACTCTACACACTACATTCCCCACTCAACACTCCACTTTCTTCACACTCCACACTTTGCATTCCACCCCATTCCACATTCCACAGTCTACAGTGCATTGGTACGGTAGCAGGGGAAAAAGTACAAGACTTCTCAAATATAACTTGTTTCACAAAAGTGACTGCATTCGGGTTCGTGGGCTGCATCTTGTTTTTTCTGCTGAGAACAATTCGCCTGGAGAGAAGTGGATCGGTAGATGGAAATCGTAGTTGTTTTGGTGAATTTAAAGGATCCATTTGAGCACATTTTGTTTTTCAAGATTCTAGGCAGACTCTGTTAATACCGTTGCCATGGAAATTTCCAATGATCTTTCTGCCATGGTCAAATTTCTCTGCCCATGTTCGGGGATGGTTATCAATCCATCTCAATCCGTTAAGAACAAATTTCATAGACCACAACCATTGGGGATTCTGCCGATTCCATATGAATCCCATGGATTCTCCACTCGATGATTTTCGATGGTTTTCATTTCAATTTTTTCTGTGCAGGGGCAATGGCTGATGCGGATCACAGTGAGCATCCCAGACTTAGTTTCCATTGAAACTGCCGGAAAACCACGGAACAAAACCAAATTTTGGGGGTACCGCGAATCAAACATGGCTAGCGGTTGGAAAGTTGCACCCCTTATGGACGGGTCTCCCTGAAACTCCATTGACCGAAGGGGATTTCCCATTGATATGTTTGATTGCCAGAGGGTAGCAGTGGTTTCCTGTTTCCTGAAGACTTCCCTTAAATCTATTGAGTTTGACGTGCCAAACTTTCAACCAACCCTGGCATTTCATTGGAGCGGGGATGTATATATGGTGATCGATCTAAAGGTCCTTGTAAGGAGTTTTAATTGCGAAAGCCGTGCATGTTATGTTGGAAACCCTCGCGAAAGTTTTTTTTCGAGTTCGCGAAAGTAAAATTTTATTTCGCGAAAGTTTCGCGAAAGTTTGGTATTATAATCATTATATGTAAAGGGCTGCCACCCACTGCCGCCCGGGGTCCGGCAGGAGAAGGGCACCAGAGAATGCAAGTAGCAGTAGCCAAGTTTCCAAAAGTGAGGCTTTGCGAGAGCCAAACACCAAGGCCCCTGGTCTTCGCTTTTCCTTCAGTGCACCCCCTGCTGATGGCCGGGGTCTGTGAATAGGGATATTTTCGCGAAAGTTCCGCGAAAGTTATGCGAAAGAGCGGGCGAAAGTCAAAGTGCATGTTGAAGGGGGTGGGCCAGTAAACTTTGCAATAAAAATCTGTCCTGAGAAGGGATTCTGTGATGCTAGCTGCATGTTAAAAAGGCTACCAAGAAGTGATCCGTGATTCTCTGGCGTAATTTGGCAGGTGGTGAACGAATCTTCATAAGAGGTGTTGTTGGCCAACATGGGCCCCGCGAAAGATAAACATGGAGTTCGCGAAAGTTTCGCGAAAGTAAAATTTTTATTCGCGAAGAATGGCCGCTCCGGGATAAAGGAATTTTGATCAACAACCATATATATATATTATATTTGTCTATCAATATGATGTCCCAATGTAGATCTAATCCAAACCCGTTTGACTTATGGAAATGCCTTTGATAGAACGCATCCTGACCTCAATAGGAACTTGTCAAAGCTATTCCAAGTTGATTAAATCTACTATACTGACTACTTGATCAATCTGGTTTTTATCTCTCAAAGTCATCAATAAATTAAGAAATCCATCTGTCTCCCCACTTCGAATAAACAGGAATCCCCTGCGGATTTTAATTCCAACCAGGCTTTGTGCTTATGGTGAATCGATCCCTTGGAAAAAAAGAGAGAGTATCACGATTTTACCTAGAATAAGAATTGAGTAGCTGTCCTTGTTTCGCTTAAAGCCAAAGTGAATCATAGATTGTCGAATTGGTGTTAGATACATTCGCCATCATTCGCCTTTAGAAGCGGACTCCATAACCGTTGTGGCAAGCCCAGCACATCGCAGTGTTTCTTCATAGCTGGAAAGGGGAAATCCTTGTCGCATTGCACAGAGGCGTTTGCCTATCATCGATGAAAACAGCAGTTTTATAATATTACTAGCTATCATTGGATATAGCTATTATGTTTTATATATCTACCATTGGAAAAGCACAGATCCACAGATCCGAAGAGAAAATATCTGTCCGACTGGATTCCATGGATCCAATGCTCGCCATCTCCATCTCTGTTGCTATCTCTGAAAACTTCTCGTATCACGTCATGTCTTATTCTAGGCACAGAGGAGATGCCCTCGTTGCAGCTTTGATCTGTAGAGATGGACCCTCGTCTAGGTTTCCACTTCCGTAGCATTCCAGGATGTTCCCTTGCCAGAAAAGTAGTCGACTCCAATGAAAATTCACAACAGTACTTTTCTGTCTTTTATCATCTCAGATATGATCAGATAGAAGTATAGTAACAAAAATCAGCCAAAGATAGTGACACCTTCCACCTTTCTCATCCTAAGTCTCCATCTTGTTGCGGGCGTTAAAAAGATCGTCGCACTGCGACATTGCAGGCTTTGGAAGACGAGCTGCGACAAAAGACCGAGAAGGTGAAGGCAGGAAGCTGAAAAATCACCAGAGCTCTGCCAATCAAATCTTTCAAATCTTTCATCAAGATTGGATGGATTTTCCTGACATGTCTTTGCCACATGAATCCACATACTTCCATTTCAGATTTCTGGAAACTCAAATTCTTTTTCAAAAAGTGCTGTCGGGTCAGGTTTTTGAAACTGAGAAACCAGCTTCAGCTCGCTAGTTCGGTCATGCTTCAGTGACTTCAGTGATCCGGGTCCGAGGCCTTAAGAAGCAAAGAACAGGAGTTGGAGGTCTCCTAGGGGATGATTGGGACCCCGTTGTGTCACGTCCCACAAGAAACAGCACCAGGCCGAGCTCCGGAATCGTCTGCATGCAGTGCGGCTGCCTGGGAAAAAGTATCTTGTGGGGTGTGGACACTCGGATGGTCCCTCTATTCATATCTATTCATTAAAAAATTTGAAGAGGGAAACTTGACACATGATTATGTTTGTCATATCTTGCTAGCCATGTCAGTATCGCAGTATATAAGAGTTCCTTTCTGATCAGCGGAAAGCTTGAGAGAAAGACTTAGCTTGGTCAACATTGATCAACATTGCAAAGAACCCAAAGGTCATCAACTTGTGACCCTTTGAAGGAGCTGCGGCTTGACATATCTTGACATCGAAGCTGTCCTTCTTGAACAGGTCACTGCCATTCACCGCCCAGCAACCTGAACAACTAGATCAACAGCTGCATGATCCACCACCTCATTTCACGTTTTATCTTGAGTTGAAACAGGTTGACGTCTTGTTCTTTTTTTTGAATTCACATATACATACACATCATATATATATATATACATATACATATACATACCTATTATATATATATATATAGACACGTTCCGTTTGTTTTTTATGGGGTACACCACAAAATGTGGAATTTTGGAGCCCAGGACTCTGCTCTCCTCCCAGCCCTACGCTTGGCAGCTTCCGAGATGGCCGCGGTCCGGGGACCCTGGGGATCCCGGGGCCCGGGAAGCCCGGGGAAGCCCGGGGAAACCCGGGGAAACCCGGGGAAGTGCTTGGTGTCCCTTAAAGAAGCCTGCGGGGAACAGGAAAATCCATGGAAAATTCGGATTTCGTTTTTTTCTTGAAAGGGATTATGTGAATATGTAGTGACTATAGTGAATATTTTGAATAAGCAACCACAAATGTATCTAGCAAAAACTCAACTGAGCACTCAAGATCTTGCACACCATTGGGCTTGAAACGGAAATTGATTGTACATGCAGTGATGATTGAAGTAATCGACTAAGCAATTTCGAAGCCAGAGTAGTAGATGCAAAGCAAACATATTTTGCAAGCCTGATGTTGTGTGAGCTGGGTTGACTTGCCTCAATTTCACGTGTGAGGGCAAACCTTTCAAGACATTTACCTTCAGACCGCACGGGACTACATAGCTTGCATTAAGATGGTTGCAAGGACCCCTTGATGTTTCAAATGTTCAGTATTCCATCAGCCAACTGTCAAAGTCTGCTTCAAGCACAGCTGAGTCTTCCAGACCCCGACCCACTAGGTTTCAGCATGTTCCCAACGATGAGGGAACCACCCAGAAACATTCAGAAACTATCTCCAAAATCAGATGGCAACTCGATTTCTGCAATTTTTGGCTTCCTCTCTGAAGAAACTTTGGTGCAAAACAGCATCCAGCCAAACATTGGTGGCCCCTTTAAGCCCAGAGAGACAGCACTTCGTTGGACAATGGCAATGTACGCTTTCCTGCGAGCAGCTGTGGCACTTGCCACCGTGGCTGGTAGAACGGCGCCAAAGAACATCGTTGTTGTAGGCTGGTCGCGGGTCACATTCTTTGCAGGGGATTCCGACTATTGGTAACACGGAGATGTTCTAAGTCATGGGGGTACGCCCAGTTCTCATCCAGTTCAATATCGGATTTTTCCTTCTAAACCATCCAGCTATTGGCGATCCATTTATGGAACATGATAGAACCATATATGGGTATGGGTCAATACCTATAGATACATTTTTAGTGGGATGAACATCCATAAATCCCAGCTATTTTGATGTTCACCAGGGGGATAGGGTTTTGACTCATCCCCATATTCCGTTGAGAGAAACCATCCAGCACAGGTTTTGCAAGCTGCAAATGGGCCATTGGTTTTCCAACCAGCGTCGATTTGCAATGTCGGTAGCTAAACGGGTACTGATTCATTCACACTTACCCTCTGGTTATGTCAAAATAGCTATTGAAAATGGCCATAGAAATAGTGGATTTTCCCATTGAACATGGTGATTTTCCATAGTTTTTTGATGTTTTTTGTATGTTTACCAGAGGGTATGCATTACAACTGAGCCATGAAAAATACACTGCTTGGGTGAAAAATTGGGATTTTTCTGATGGGGTTTTCCAAGAAAAGCCATCGGTTGGACCGTTGGACCAAAACGTCGCAGGAGGCATCATGAAGAGCCACCAACTGGCCCCTTGGAAATCGATGATCCAAGCATTGGATGGGGATCATTGGGAGTGACATCAACAGTGTGCACTGATGATTTTCGAAATGTGCTGCTTAATGCCAGATAATTACGGTAAGGCCCCCCATTTGGGGCTGGTAGGAGCAAACCCGAGAAGATCCAAACTGCAATGAATGTGTCAAGTGAAGTCACACCTGGAGGTATTGAAGTTTGTGGGGGAGCTAGTTTGCAGATGTTTGCAGTAAGAATTCCCCGAGACAGCTCCAGCAATGATTGCTGATATGCCTATATCGTGTGATTTTCCACTTGAAGGAGCCACAGATATCAAGTAATCTCAATGCCTAGACAATATTCGACCCGAAAAAAGACCTTTGGCGGACTGCTAAATAGAAATTGGCAAAGAGCAAGTAGACCAAATTCCAGTTACATCAGTTACCATGTCTCCTGCCCAGGTAAGCGAATTCAACAATATTCAACATCAGTTTCAACATTAGTTTCAGATGTGAAGCAGCATCTATGTCATTTCGTTTCAAATTTGTGTCTGTGAAGATCCGCTGGGAACACGCTGCATACTGCAATGAGACCCTCATGAGATCCTCAATTTGGCTTGGCTTTCGTAGCGAAATCGCTACCAGGCAATGGTGCCAGTCATTGAAGGCTTGTTGGAACGTGGCCACAACGTGACCTTTATCTTGCCCAATAGCCCGGAAGCACACCAGTGGTTTCCCGAAGGCCACTGTTCCAGTAGGCGGAGCTCATCAGTTGCAAGCCGTAGAGAAGTGTATGAATTTTAAATAAACCTCATGATCATGACCATTTCCATTTTTATCCATTTCAACATCAATTCTAAAGCAGTTGCAGGTTGTGAGAACGCGTCAAAACATGTCAAATTCGCGAGAGCTGCGAGGTATAGGCCATGCACATCTTCTGCATTTGGGACCTGAAGACTCAACCTTTGAATCTTTCAAGATACCAGATATGAAGACTCTCGGACACAGCCGGGCACAGGAGGGTGAAGACCAGTGGATGTGACAGATGCGTTTCATCAAACCTGGCTGCCATTACACGCCACAAACTCAACATGAATTCAATTTTTCGTGACCAGCTCAGGTTTGGAATCAATCTTCATGCCTCTTCAGGCAACATGCAAACAGACATTTTCGTTTGCCAGACAGTTGACATCAGCAGAGTTACCTGACGGATCTCAAGTCCTGCTCCAAGCAAGTGATGTGTTTCTTACCGCTCTCCAAGAGTCAGCAGGGTAGAGAAAACATGATTCTACAGGTGTACGACTCCGTCTTGGACGTATTGGAAGTATGTATTCTTCCAATTTTTTCCTTGCCACACGCCATGTCCGGCCGTGGAAATCAGCCTAAGGAATTTGCCGTGGTACAAAAAGATTGCTGCGTGGGCTGACATTCTGTCTCTCGGTATCTCAAAAGTCGTTTTGACTCAGCGTGGTAAAACGGTACAAGGCGGAACTCAGTTTACTCACTAGCCAGGCAAGAAATCAAACATGCAAGAAATATTAAGGGTGGGTTAATACTCTGGCATAGCGGCATAGCAGTAGCGATCAATGGGGCACCTTTCCGCACATCTATATATGATGATCCAACTCTCGATCACATGAAGTTCAACAGCCTGATAAAACATATTAAAAAATCATCATGATGTGAGAGACGAGGTGGAATTATCGTCGCATGTTGGACAAGCCCTTCTTTGGCATGGTTGAGGAGACAATTATTGGTTTCAGTAGGAATGGACATGAGCGTACTTCGTCGCTAGTTAGGGCACACACATATTCAATCATATTGTTTGGATATAAGGGTTAATGTATTAATAAAACAATTAATCAACAAAGATAGTGTTAATGGACACATCCGCTCTCCGTAGCATATCTGGCTGCCTTTCGTCATTTGTCGGGTTCGTAAAAATATGGCGTTTTTAAGTGGCGACTCTTCGTGAGGACTTCCGCAGTCTGATTCAGCAGAATCGTTTCGACGTGGCCTTCTCCTTCGCCATGGCCTTGGGATGCAACCAGATTCTGGCGACCAGTGGTATCCCTTGGATTGGTGCCCTGGATGCCACTCTGGGTACCCCCAAAAAGCCATGGAGGGAACCCCGGGGAACATGACGAGAATCCATGAATTGAAGGCACCCCGTTGTCATCCATAGAGACACCCATGTGACTCCCCACTAGGACACGGCAGAACACTTTCCTGACATTGAAGTTGTGTTTCTTCAGCAAAATTTAAGGATTGTCAACTTGGGCCACTAGAGAATTGCTAGGCCTCAGCTTCAAACACCATCAGATTTTTGAGATATAGAGATAGCCACTCCGGCCACGGGCCCGTGTTTGAGTTTTGGGGGAGAAGATGTCTACATGAAGCCATGAATGGAAAGGATTCGAGTCTTTTCAGTCGCCAAGCCTGAGTCGACAATGGTGGAAAAACACAGACGTTTAGACGTTTAGACCCTCGGTTTCCAAAACCGCACGAGGCTTCATGAGCGTTCCACCGTACCCTGAGTTTGTGATTCAGGACTCCACCAAAACACAGCCAGGTCTTTGCTCGGTTGGCTAGTAGATGCCTCAATTGAAACGGCTTTTAAAACACTTTCACATCCAGCATGGCAGGACCCAACAAAAAACCTAAGATCTAAACTTTGTGCCTCTACAGAATAGAAACTCTTGCAAAACTTGTCTTACCCAGTTGTGCGTCCTCACACTTGCAGAAAAAGCAGAGAAATATGTTCTGTTTATAAAATATTGTTGAAAAGGCCTTTCAGCACACGTGAGCATCAATTTCTTTATATGGATTATATGGTTTCTCCCCAAGAAACAGTTGCATGTAGTCGCATCACATCAAGCGAACGCAACCAACGAAACGCATTTTGCGATTGGCCCAGTCAACCACCCTTGGAGCAAGGAACAGCTTTTTCGTTGAACTCGTTGGGATATTTTTTCTGGATATTCTGGGATACTAGGCCATGGTCACTGGGCCACAGGCTTTAGCAGGCTTCAGCCGTGCCAGGACACTGATCTCTTGTGCAACTATCCCAACATGGCGAATCCCCGAAGCCTTCGAGAGCTGAAAGACTCACGGAGGCTCCGAGTGACCTGGCTGAACGGGTTTACGACCTGGGATGGAAATCAGCTATCGGCTGAAAAATAGAGCAAGATGGAATCGGAATGAATCAGATTCTCAGTCTTGTAGATCTTGTAGACTTTGTAGATCTTGTAGATTCCTAAGATATCTATAGAATTTCTATATATAGATATCTTAGATTCTCAGCATATCATGAACACTCTGGACAGTGGAGCATTCCGGAAATCGCCCTTGCAGATCGCCCCGTTTTTAGGTGCAGAATCGCATTGAGTGCAAGTGTTTTGGCCGCAAAAAAAAACACGGACATGCTGGATGTATGACACGATATGATTCCATTGGGCTTGAATCATTCTGTAGTCCACTGTAGCCACTGTAGTCACTGTAGCCACTGTAGTCACTGTAGTCACTGTAGTCACTGTAGTGTACATCCAATGCCATGACGAGAAGGTCAGCAACCTAGGCTCCTGCATGCCTACACACTATTTGCCACTTGGACTGTGAACGGTGTCCTGAGAGATCGCGGATTCGGCACTGTGCAACACTTCTCCAATCTCCTGCTACAAGCACCGCTGATGCTCGCTTTGCAGACTTGGCAATGGTGAGATAGGGATCAAAGATATTCAAGCAATTTCCAGGGAAAACGCTTGGAACAATCGGTTTTCCAGGATGGTCGTGTGCAATCCATGTTGTAATGGTTCCAGCATTACCAAACGTTTGCAGCTCATACCGTATCGACTCGTCACCGATTCTGGGACGTAAATGTTTTTTGATTGCAAATCGTTCCGATTCGCAACGTATGGAAGTTCTTGATGCTGTCTTTGTAACTCTGCCTGCATCTTTTGATGGTCGAACTTTACTTCTGGAACTCCCGAACCCAGATAGGATCACTCGTCGAAGTAAAGTAATTCATATTAATTCATATCTTTTGCTGTGTCGGATGTTTGTGACACATGTGGACTTGTTGGATTTGAATCGATTAAGCATACTAGGCATACTAAGCATATTAAGCATAGTAGCCGTAGCTGCACTTGTGTGGGACATGCACTGCTCCCGGACCCAGGAACATCATGCTGGGTGGGCCGCCCCTGTCCTTGCCTGTCCGAGTGCCTTCAAAGGCCATCGTTGGTGGAAAATCCAGCAGAATCCATTGATTTTCGAGTGATTTTCCCCCCAAAAGCTCCATGCCATGGCAGGATTTCCCGTGTTTTTTCGGAGGGTAAGCCGGTAAGCCCATGCCATGGCAGGTGCAAGTGGTGGGGACCATGGAACTACCCAAGCCTCGAGCTCTACCCTTGCAGATGGCCGAATGGCTGGAAGCTGCGCGTTCGGCCTCTGAAGCGGTGGTCTATGTCTCGATTCTTGGGCGAAAAGCAAGCGCTTCCAACATTGGAAACACCCCCATTGATGGTCCCGCGGGGTCCCACATGGTCAGAAAAGTCTTACAGGTCCATCTGTTCCCTGCTTTAGCATGGTTTTTTTGGGGGGATTCGGGTGGGATTTTTCTAACCCTTACTGAAAAGCTTTGTACCCTCTGGTAAACTAACATAGCTATGGAACATCACTATTTTTTATGGGTAAAACCACTATAAATGGTCATTTTCAATAGCTATGTTAAATTACCAGAGGGTAACCCCAAACAGAATGGAAATTCATTGATCACATACGTAACCGCAGAAAAACTGACTTGTCGTCATGTTTTTCGGTTGCTTTGGCTTCATCATCGAATGGTGAAACCAGGTTGGCGGTTGACCGACATGTTTCGCTTGTACTTTTCATATCTGGGTATGGATCAATACTCATGGTTAATCACCATTATATAATAGGGGCTAGTCATCCAATGGTGATTTAATGGGATTTTAATAATAACCATTTTGTAGGGGATCCGAAAAAAAATGGATGGGATGACCATGAACCATATAGTGAGTACCATGGCTCATATCTTTTCATATTTGATTTTTTCCACTCCAAATGGATCCAAATGGGCTGATGGCCCCAATTGACAAATTTGAGAGCTGAAACCATGGGCCAGGTTGCCGGTGGCATCTTGCTTATGATGACACTTTTCTTTGGCACTTTGATCACGAAACATGTTTTTTTTTGTGCACTCCCTGACTCAAAAGGAACATCATTTGGTGCTTTGCGGGAGAGACACAGGAATATGAACACATCCAAATATAAAATCTTCCACAGGAAAGCTGCATGTTTACGGCCTGCGATCACTGCGATGGCTGATTTGAATGGGATCAGATTCCATCGGCGTGGGAAGTGCCACATAGTGCCACGAGTTCTGAGGATGGGAACAAAGTACGAACTCACCAATTCCAGCGGGCAGAACTTGCTTCTGATGTTGCAGCGACTTCAGAGTTCCGGGTCTCTCGGTCCTGCAGCTGAGATTTTTCCACATCTATATCGATGATCTTCCTGTGAAAACTTCCATTTAGTTCGGGGATTTTCCGTTGCGATGTTTGATTACCGGAGTCTGGGTTCCGAATTGCGATGGGTATACAGGGATTTTGGATGTGTGAAGCCACCTGTGAGACTTGAACTCATGGATGTGCCTGGACCTAGTCCTTTAAAAAAATGCGATGCCATAATGGATTCATCAGATGGGAATGAGATGGAACGATTCTCAAATGTCCCAAGATATTTTTCATCATTTTTCCATTCTCCAAGCTATGAACGGACCAGAAGCAGGGACATCCTTTGACTTCCTCCATAATCTCCAGTGGTTTATTACGAGATTGTCATCGTATTCCCAGAGAAAATGGTATACCCTGTGTTCAGACAACCCCATTTTTGCATCTGTAATCGTGTTAGTATGAGTTATATCCATATATATCCAGTGAAGTGTTCCTTTTCATAAGTTTGTTCCCCAAAAAACTAGCATTGAAATGTCATTCACCGGATCTCCTGATTTCATCCTATCCACGATCTGAATCTCACCAGAACGAGGCTACGTATCTTATGGTCCCTTCGGCCACAGCAGCAAGAGCTGCTACGCGAGTTCTTGCCAGCACCCAGCAGCTCCATCCGTATTGAGGTGAAGAACCATGAAGAACCACTGGAAAACAATTCATGATGTATGTACATGATATATATATATATGTATATATATAGTATATACATATATATATGTGTATATATATATGTATATATATATATGTATATATATATATGTATATATATACTATATATATATGTGTGTATATATATATATATGTATATATATATATGAAGGTTTTGGATCACAGCGAGCCCATCGAACGCTTCTTCCAATTACCTTAGCGGGCACCCCCGTGTTTCGCTAGCCCGCGGGTCATCCTTTGGTGGATCGACCTTCTTTTTGCTGTGCTCTGCGATTCTGGCCAAATCGCAACACCTCGGTTTCTGTGCTCCCAGGCACGTAAAATACTGGGTGGCCTAGCGCTTTGCATTGTGGACCTCTTTGCGCTTTTGGGACCTCTTCGGTCGCATTGCCTTTGACCTGGTCCCGGTGTATGCCATTTACCCTGCTGGTCTTCGTCTTCCTCTTTTTGTTCTTTGCCGGTAAGGATTACGCCATCGCAGAGAAGAGCTGGAAGAAGAGCGAGAGCTCAAGCGCGGTTCAAGTTCCATTTGCACAAGAAGGGGTTGCGCATTTTGGACAACACAGGCTTGAGGCATCTCTTGAACACTCTTCACCACCATCACTCACGCGACCCTGGACTCCTTCGCAGGATTGCAGAAGCCATGACGACGCACAAGAAGCCGGCATGGAAATGCGCAGACTGCAGAAGGCTCATCAAGGGAAACGACATGTTCTGTCCGGCCTGTGGACAATTTTGGGAAGACTGTGTGGACAATGCGTACCAGGAGACGGCTGCATCGTCATCTATGCGCTCACAGACCCCTTCCAGGCATACGAGCTATCGCAGCTATACCCAAGGGAACGACTACTGGGATGGATGGCACAGCCACAGGGCATCGAGTGCGAGTCCCAGGAGCAGGCAGCAAAAGCCCAAATCTCAAAGGACGCGACAGGGAGAAGGCAAAGGAAAAGGCGGCAAAGGCAAGGGCAAAGGGAACAAGTCGCAACCGGCTCCCTTACAGGGAATGGGGCAAGAGGGAATGGCACCTCTGCCGCCACCACCAATGCCACCGCCATCTGGACCCTCGGAATCATGGATGCAGTTTGCAGTGCCTTATCATGCCGCTGGAGGACCGCCCCAAGAGACACCTATGAATGCCCCCTCATTGGCGGAGACCAAATTGAAGGAGGTCATGGGCATCCTCAAGAAGAACGAGACGGAGCTCCCAGCGGAGGTTGCAGCTGTGATGAAAGACAACAAAGTCAACGAGGGGATGCAGAAGATACAAGGAATGCACGAAGCAGTGGAGGAGCTTGGAAACGCGCAGCAGCGCTTGGAGCAAGTTTGCTTTGCCAGGGCGCAGAACCTTGCTTCATGGAGGCAGTTCCTTCACCTCTCTGTACAACGATGGCAAGAATATACACAGAGATTCCAAGGTCAGGAGAAGCACAACTTGGAACAGATTGCCAAGGCCAGAGACGACGTCAAGAGAGCTCAAGCGATCTTCAAGGAGCTACAAGATCGGGGTGTCATCACGGTCGAAGCGGACGAAGATCCAGAATTGATGGACGATGCACTCATGAACACAGAGAGCTCCAAAAAGATCGAAGATGGACTCACCCATCTGACGACGTCTCTGGGAGAATTTGCTCAACAAGCAGATCTCGAACATGCTGCTGCCGAAGAACAACAAAAGAAACGACAACGCAAGGATGTCCAGGCGGAGCCAACGCCGACAGGCTCCAAGCCCTTAGCTGCGCCATCGATGCAGCCTTTTGGTGGGGCTCACAGCGGATGACTCAAGAGTATTCCTGTGGGAAGCCAGCCACCTCTCCACATTTGGTGGATTACACTTTGGGATGGGCACACTCCGTTGTCTCTGAACAGAACTTCACATCACCATGGGAAGCCGCCTCACGTGCACTTGAGCTATCATTTGAACTCTGCACGTTGCCAGCTTTGGGAAGTGGGCACAATACCTTGGGCACCATGGATTTTGACACGGAACTTCGGGACGATCGACCGGCGCACAGACGATCACCAAGTTTCTGTGAGGATGTGGAAGTTTTTTGCGGCATCGAGGACAGCATTCAGATGGTTTCCAATGTTGTTCGACATCAAGATCTATGCCAGTCATCTATGAAGCCTTGGGGGTGGTTCTTTTGCAATGACGTTTGGCACTATGATCTTGAGAGTGACTCGTACAAACCATTGAAAGTGAATCGATCCTGCCAGGAACCGCTGTCATTTGTGGCCGCGTCGATCCGGCAGGGTCCTCAGCACAACCTCATTCGGCTCACTGACCAATGGCACCATCCATTACCAGAAGACGCACGAAGAGGAGCACAAGATCAAGAAGAACAGGAAATTGATCCAGATGAGATTCCAGAACCAACTGGAGCACCCACTTTTGTGCATGACCTTTTTGAACTTGCTGAACGGCATCGAGTCTTCACAGATCTTGATTTGGACGGCTCAATGCAAGTGAGAACATGGTATCTACACCATCAAGACGAACGCTATTGCGAACATCCGAGATTCCTGGAATTTGAGGAGGATTGGAGACGATGGGAGAATGACATTGGCCTTGCGTGGAGGGACCGCATCAGGCCTAATGAAGTCATCATGATACATGTGGTCTTCCCGGACTCCTTCAGAGGGTACCTGACAAGGCCAGTCCATGCTGATGTGATCATATCTCAAGGACACTGGCTACATCGATTTTCAGCTCTCTCAACCATCCACCATTACCATCGCCTGCATCCACCACATTCATACGCAGTTGCCTGCTCACTCCAGCGGAGAATTGGTGGTATAGCTCTAGCTGAAGCGGCAAGAGTGATGTATTGGTGCAGTCAACACACCATTAACTGCAGAACAAGTTATGAATGGCATGACATCCCATTTTCTACAGTGCCGACACATGAAGTCAGTCATGGGCATGCTTTCAACATCAACATAATTGATGCTCCTGCTTTGGATACTGCTGCCAGTTCTTCGACAACAAGGGCAAGAAAACGACAATTCCCTGAAATCGAGGAAACATCTCTCATGCAGCAGCCACAAGAGGAGGACTATGAGCATGCTGAGCCCAACGATGACGTTGCGATCGAGCCTGTACCAGAGGACTATGAAAGCAGCAGTCTTCACAGTGGTGACATTGGAATCCTCATATTCCGACTGTCGTCGCCGGATATCCATTCTTTCGCCCCAAGTTCAACGTACATGGCGATTCTTGAGGCTGCAATCCGAGCGTGTCGAGTCAGAAGACGTGACATCAGATGTTTCCATTATGTCCCAGCTACTCCAACTGGAGTTCATGCAGAAGCAGAAGAAGTCATCATCCTACAAGCTGTGGATGACATTGCAGCTGGATCAGATGAAAAGCTTGTCCTGCTCGACCTTGAGATCCATTTTCATCCATTGCGAGGAGGACTTCTGGTGCCAGCGGCAGCAAGCAGAAGAGTCCTCAAAGTCAATCCGACGCTTCATCGTGACCAACTTCTGCTTTTGACAGGACTGCTTGAATACTGCCGGCTTCAACAAGACCGATGCACGGTGTTCATGAACAATGAGCTATGGGCAGCTAATGATGCTCGAACACACCGGATTGCACATGGCACGTACTTTCGTATTCAAGTCCCACCACCGCAAGACCCTGCTCTGGACACTGAGATTGCCATTGCCATTGCAAGAGATCTAGCGGATGAAGATGAACCTGAGCGTGCTGGAGTTGCAACCAGATGCCGGCAAAGGAGCAATGCATTATCATTACGCCAATTAGGAGCTTCCCAATCTCAGCCTGAGGATGACTGGGAAATCCCAATTCAATGGAATGACAATGCTCCAATACAAGTACGTGAGCCCACGCGCCTACTGCCAGAGGGCATTCGAGGCCGTTTTGCTGATGGACATCTCTGGAGCCTCATCCGACTCCGAGATCGTACAAATCTCATCGAATGCGAAGAAGAGGGACGTATCATGTATGTCACAATTTGGTTTTTACACCATCAGCGTCAAGTACGTTGTGATGAAGGCAGATCAGCGCGATTACAAGAAGATGATACGACGTGGCTTGAGACCATCATCGACACATGGAGGGACGCACTTGATCCTCACCAAGAATTTACTGCTTATGTTGTTCAGCCGACGCCGGCATGTAGCAGATTTGAATGTGTCCAAGCCCATATCATCATCGAACAATCTGCAAGACCTGGACACACCACATGCTTAGTCAGCACACTGGACGAACGTATGAGTGTGGACAGATGGACTCACAAAGCTTTCTCTACAACTACTTTGCAAAATGCTGCTGGCATTATACGCATGATGGAACTTGTTTCTCTTTGTCAAACAACTACGTGCCGGGTGACCCTTCGAGGTTTTCCACTGGCAATTGTTGACTTTGAAGAGCTGGACCCTGCTCTCAACATTAATGTGCATGTTGGTGGTCCCTCCTGGCTTGAGCATGACTACGAGGACACCGACCTGATGCAGAGATCTAAAGTCCAACCAGTACAAAGTGCCCTCAATCTCACAGGCGCCAGAGAAGAATGCGAGAACTATGCCACGCCAGCATTGAACCCGCTTGCTCCAGTCTTCCATCCCGATCGGGTCAACATTTGGAGCCAGCCAGCTGATATCCATGCACTGCATGCCATCTGGCAGATTGGAGCATCAGATTGGCAAGGTGAAACACCGTCTGCGACCTTTTTGGTTTGGTTTCTTTGTCCTGGAGGCGGCCATCCACGATGCCTTTATGCGAGACGCACAACGCTTTTTGACGATGTTGCGGAATGGCGTGACAGACTTGTTTTTACGTGGCGGGATCTGGTTATCCAGGGTATTCCTGTGGAGATCCATGTTGTGCGACCGCCCCCTGACGAGATTGAAGATGGCATCACGGCGCACATCATTCTCACACAGCTCTTTCCAGATCGCACGTCAGGAGTCCTGCTCACTGTACAAGACAATGCTGTCAATGACGGCCTGCCTTTCAGGATTGCAGTCCTCGTGAATAACCCTGGACAACTCCAACAAGTACTGCAAATTTCAGCGTACTCAAATGAGCAAGCCGTCTTCAATTTGAGAACAGGCACGCAAACACTTGGCATGCACCAGCAGTTTCCAACCAGGCATGGCCAAAGTTTTCATCTCTTGGTCTTCCGCCAAAATCTTCCACATGGCTGGTTGCCGCCTCTTGCGCCTGTTGTACCTGGAGCTGATGGTCTTGGATTAATTCAAACAAGAGCACACATTGCTCGAACGGCCCCCGAGCGCCTAACACATGGATTGGTGGCTCATGACCATGGGCCGGGGGACCGTGAGGTTTTGAAACTCGACACACTCATCCCCATTGCTGTGGATACATGTGCGGTGCAACTCATTACAGGACACCATGATTTGCAAGTACCCTCATATGTTGAGATTGATAGCCCAGCCACCTCGGCTAAAGTTGAAAAAGAACTTTCACATTGGGGGCTTACTTGCACAGTGATCCAATTTGGCAACCGTGACAAATTCCTCTGCCTCAACCGACAAGAAGACGGATTTCACTATGTCCTTTGCAATGAAGATTTTGAAGACGACCAGGGCTGCATCCTTCACACTCAGGATCGACAGCTTGACCACATTGATCTCATGCGTCTCCTTGAGAACCTGGGATACAACCGAGCTGTGATCCTTGAAGTTGAAGAGGTTGGACTGGGCCATACTAGAGTACTCTTCTGCAACAATGATCCTCAGTTTGCGAAGCATGTTAAACTGCCCAAAATCAGAAGTGAATGGCCGGAATGGCAAGTTGACACTGCCCCAATTAACAAACTCTTTCCAGCACAAGATTGCAGAGAACAAGGTGCACGACATTGTGTCGAGACTGCCTTCACGAACAGTGATCTACAGGAATTATTGGCTGCTGGGAAGAACTTTCTCAACACGAATTTTGAAGGCCTAGAACTTCCAGATTTTGTTCAAGCTGCTCTGAACCAGCCGAGATCACAGAGCAGGTATGACAGATGGCTCATCTACACCGATGGATCATCACAGTCCAAGCTCAGAAGAATGGCACCCCAACAAGCTGATGAACTTGGCCACCCAGATTCATGGGCGATGCTTGTCCTTGGTGAATCGCAAATGCCCGATGGGACCACAGTTGTCGAACCCATTGGCTGGTGTGCACACCCTGTTCATTATGATTCGACAGGTGCGTGCTACACACATGCAATGCGAATTGGTGCGGAAGTCGCAGAGCGTGAAGCGATGATCTGGGCAGGTCTATGGAGATTATCGCAGGACTCCAATATCCCGACAATTTTTTGCTGCGACTCACTTACATGTGGGAATCAAGCGTTTGGCAACATGGGTGTTGGAACTGCAGATGAATCATACAGATTGATGCGGGGCATCTTCCAAAGCCTTGAACATGGACTTCCAGTAGGCCATCTACGTCTTCATCATGTCAGATCACACGCTGGCGATCCTTATAATGAGTTTGTGGATTGGGCTGCGAAGCAAGAAGCGGTCAAAAGCTTCAACCACAGCCAAATGCGTCTTGACATGAACAAGTGGAGCCAGATTCTCCCGCATTTATGGTTGGTGTTTGGTCATCATTGTGGCCTACCTCCATGGAAGGATGGGCAACTTGTCACATCAAGACCATCCCTCCCAAAGGACAGAGCTGGACAAGATAGCTCCGCAACCAGGACATGCACTGAGGCGATCCAATGCACCTTGAGTATCGCTACTGCGAATGTCCTTTCGTTATCAAGAAGCCCGGAAGGGCAAAGAGGAAAGCTACACTACTTGTTTGAACAAATGAAGCACTTCGGACTGAACATCATGGGCTTGCAAGAATGCCGTTCAGACGAAGGACACACGAAGTCCAACAACATTTTGCGCTATATGTCAGGGCAGCGTCAGGGCCAAGAAGGGGTAGAAGTTTGGATCAATCTCGACCAGCCAATCGCCCACACGGAGGCAGGCAAACCGTGTTTCCTTGCTGCACAGCACTGTCAGATTGCCTACAAAGACCCACGCAGATTGTTGCTTCGCATCACCTCCCCGTTTCTTGATGGATGGTTCTTTGTGGCACATGCGCC